GATGCCTGATCCCTGATCCCTTTGACACCTCGTGATCGCACAGGCTGGTGTGCTTCTTCCATGTGGGCTTTGTTGTTTCTGAGCTAGATGGCCGCTTGTTACCTTCAAGCCTTTAAAACCCCAGATGCTATATCTTTTGATGGAAAGCTACTCTTTAATGTTAGTTTCTCAACAAACAAAAACAGAGCTCCTGAGAAATAAGTACTAATTTTAGAAATATATATATTAAGAGAGACAGCCTCTCTCTTCTCTCAATGCTCCAAGCACCTTGTTTTAACTCTTAATTGTATAGCACCTGATATAGACAAGCAACCCTGGTGATCTAGTTACTCTTGGGCTGCTAACCACAAGGTCAGTGGTTTGAACCCACTAGCCTCAGCAAGGGAAAAAAGATGAAGCTGTCTGTTCCTCTAAAGATTTAAAATCTCAGAAACCCAAAGGAGCCGTTCTACTCTGACCTATACGGTTGTGATGAGCCGGACATGCCATGCCAGTGAGTTTGGTTTTGGTTTATATATCAAGGGTTTAGAATAGACGTAGTATTTTGTTTAGTAGTGACAGAATACAAGTCCTATCAACCCAAAAGTGCCCTTAAGGTGATTTGAGTCCAATTCATAGTGACCCTATAGGATAGAGCCCAGAGAATGGCTGGTGGGTTTGAACCACTGACCTTCAGATTAGCAGCTGAGCTCTTAGCCACTTGGCCCTCCATGGTTACCTTCTATTCCCTATTGGTTAAGTTCCATGATGAATGAGTTTCTCTCTGTTTCTCCCACAGCACTTAGCACAGTGTGTAATAAATACTAGATGCTCAAAAAATGACATGAAATTGAATGCACAAGGAAATGAAGGTATGTTTAAAAAGTGAATTCAATTAGTTCAAATGAATGGGTTCCCAGCATGTTGTTTGCATGTCTTCAGGTAGTGTTTTATAATTCCTTGTTAGATGCTTTATGACCTGTTCTTGTTCGAGCCCTCCTCAAAGCATCCAGTGTGGTGTGAGGCACATTACAGCACTAGGAACTGCTGGCCGCCTGACAAGCTCACTGTTTGAATAGTTGGAGGGCTGCGATCGCTGCAGCAAAAAAGTGGCTTACATTAGCTTGGCTGCTGGGGATGGAAGACCAATAGTTTTTTAAACAGAGCTCAGGGCAGGTGGGGACCGCCAAGTGGACACTCTGGAGCCCGGCGGGATACTGCAAAGGTGAGCGCCCTACTGCCAGGGCCAAAGGTCCGGGAGGGGGGCGGGGGGGCTGGTGGGAGAAGGAAGGAGGCCCCGTTCCCGGGCCAAAGAGTCCCTCTCGGCCCCGGGCAGGTACCCTACCGCGCAGACCCCACCGGGGCTGCCTTCGCTCCGGCGCTGCCAGGGGCTGTGAACCCCCTCTCGGGCCACCTCCTCCGGACGCCACTGACCTTGCTGCGCGCGGGCTGGCGCAGTCCCCACGCCGCAGTGCCGGGCGCTGGCGGGGACGCCCACTGGCACCTGGGCGGGCAACTTGTGCG